CATGACGGGAACAAAGACTACCGAAAAACATACATTTGCTTTGTCTTTGATAGACTCGGTAAAAGGCGCGAAAATTAATCCCATGTGGGATTGGTCAGTAACTATCAGTAGCCTTGGACATGATTGGTCCGAATTAACTAATTGTGATTGGCTAAAGAAATCACTATCCGAATCCGTATGTGAAGTCTAGCTCTAACACATAAATTTTAGGATTTATGTTTCCGATAAGCATGGGCTAAGAAATGCTAAGTACGGATTAATTCTTGCCCATTTTTAAGACGCAGCCCAGATCTTTAGCATGGGCTTACGAAGTGTGCGTAAATGTTTAGCTTGGGCTTAAGCCCCTAAAACGCCATTTTATTAAATTTTCATGTAAAAAAATTATTATATTCATAACTACTGCAAAATGACTAATTTTTACTGAGTTTAAATTTCACTGATTTACCATTTCAGGCATATTCATTGGGTTTTAAATTCGCGGTTTTATCATTTAGATAATGTGTTCTATGCTAAATTTTACATATTCACTGGGTTTTAATTTAGTGCATTTTCCAGTCAGCAAAATAAGCAAAATTTAAACCCTGTGAATAATTAACCCCTTTACAGTATTCATAACTATTCAAACACACATAGAAAGATTGTTCTCGAAAAAAAATGAACTGTCAGAATGAGACTACATCCTGTTATTCTGCAATTTTTACTTTGTGGGTTTCTTTCATATTGTTTTATAACTGTAGAACTATCTTGAAATGATTGAAGATTTTTGTATAGTTTGGGCTTTACTTAGCCCATGCTAACCGCTGTTTCCTCTCGTGCATGAAAACATTTGGGTTTAATAAGCAAACATATGAGATTAGCTTCAATCGTAGCCCGTACGTACTTCGTATAGTGGAACACTACATATGTGAAGTATTATATAACAGTAAAAAGGCAAAAATAAATTGAATTTGTTTCTTTGTCGGCAGGTATTGAATAGGTTGCGAACTATGTACGATGATCTTTATACAGCAGAGAATTTCTGTTTAAGTGGAACACACACTCATTCTGGTCCCGGTGGATATCAACAATTCGTACTGTTTGATATCACGTCATTGGGATTCGTCAAAGAGAACTTTGAAGCCATTGTGCAAGGTATTGTCAAGGTCAGTATGTGTGTAGTGAAATTCAAGTTCAATATTTGTTGTATTAAAAAAACATAATAATAATTAAATTATATTAAAGGTGACAGGATGGGATACTTTTAATTTGATAGTTTGGCTAATAGCGTATTTTAGATTTTAAAGGGCAGCGGCCTTATTCAGTTTGTAAAATTTATAAAATGTGTATAAAAATAAATGGAAGGGGTTTGTTTTGTCGATACAGTTATGGGCATAAAACTGTACCTAATTAACCTATTCATGAAAATTTATAAATACCGATCATTAGATGTCATTTAATTCAAAAATTTAATAGTGATTGGTTCAAGAGCTAAACATTACCGGTATCTACACCAATAATGTGCTCACTTGACATGGCGTACATGTAGCATTTCAAATATTCTAATTTGAAAATTCTAATTGATTCACTTTGTTACAGAGTGTACAACATGCACACAGTAAACTTACATTGGGGGATATCTTCATAAATAAAGGTGATGTCATGATGAGCAACATCAACCGAAGTCCAACGGCTTATCTCAACAATCCCGCTGATGAACGAAATAAGTATGTGAACTATTCATGCAGTTCTGTTTTGTTTAGCTTCAATGTCACTTTGACTTTATCCCATACACAATTCACCTTTTTTAGCTCCGCTGTTGACTTTGTCGAGCGGAGCTTATCATATGAGTGATTGTCCGTCGTCGTCCGTTGTCGGCATCCGTGTCAATGTTTTACTTTTTCGACTTCTTCTTGAAAACTACAAGCCTGAATGCTTTGATACTTGGTGTATATGTAATTTTTGGTAAAAGTGATATTTTCGACTTCTTGTTAAAAATCGCAAGTCCAATTGCTTTGATATTACATATATAAGTACTACATGTGGACCTCTCTCAGATTTGTTCATTTTGTGATGATATCTTTAATTCTCTAATTTTAGTGAATATTTTTGTCATTTTTGGTAAAAAGTGATATTTTCAACTTCTTGTTGAAAACTGCAAGTTTGATTGCTTTTATAATACATATATAGGTACTACATGTGGACCTCTCTCAGATTTGTTCATTTTGTGATGATATCTTTAATTCTCTAATTTTGGTGAATATTTTTGTCATTTTTGGTAAAAACTGATATTTTCAACTTCTTGTTAAAAACCGCAAGTGCAATTGCTTTGATATTACATATATAAGTACTACATGTGGACCTCTCTCAGATTTGTTAATTTTGTTGTGAAATCTCCAATTATTTAATTTTGATGAATATTTTTGTCATTTTTGGGGAAAAGTGATATTTTTGACTTCTTGTTGAAAACCACAAGTCCAATTGCTTTTATATTACTTATATACGTACTACGCGTGGACCTCTCTCAGATTTGTCCCGTTGCTTTTTAAATACATATTGTTCATTTTCTAATGATATCTTCTGTTCCTTAATTGAAATGTGCATTGCTAACAGCGGAGCTATCTCAGCCGAGAGGCTGCTTGTTTATCTGATTCATTGCCTATTTTGTTATGCTCCATAACACACATAGTAAAAGCAAATGCCAATGTTTTGAATTTTCTTTAAACCTATCAGTACTAATTTTCCAAATTTGATGGTTTATATAAGGACATTAATACGGATGATCCGGTCACATTTTCACCATTTTAATATTCCGCTTTTACTCGAGCAGCGATTTATACTCTGACAACTATGGTAAATTAAAGTGGTTTAACCTTTTAACTACCAGACTTTTCTTGTCCAAATTATTCTGCATTATATCCTATTTATTCACTTAATTATGTCACACAAATACTTTGTCGCTAGAGAAACTTATTACAGCAGCAAAATTTAAGGCTGGGTTAACCTTTTCACCACCAGACTTTCTTGTCGAATTATTCTGCATTTTTTTTTTATATTCTTCAATATTTCTGGAAATGAATCCTATTTTTGGAGCAACAGACAAATTTGATCAATTTTAAGTTTTTACACAAAAGATTTGGCTATTTTTGTCCTAATCTTTTGAAGGGAAGTGCAGACTTATAAATGGCACTATTTTGTGAATTTGAAAAGAGGGGATTGGTGGTGAAAAGGTTGAAGTATTTTGAATATATGAGTTGAAGTAAAACATTGAAATCTCAGAGCTGTGCATTCAAATTTTATGTGAACAACCAATATGATTTATGCATGTATCATCGCATGGGACCCACATCGAACATGACACGAAGC